CTCTTTTTCAATGAAAGTTGACTTTGACAGTTCACATTTTGGTCAAGAGATAGAATTGCATCTATTAAATGAATTATTAAAGATTCCATGACATGGAGTTAGAGGATTAGTGTTTCAAGCCCAGCAAGACAAATCAGCAATACATCCCTTACAATGCAAATTGTAAGTTGTTGCTTTTTATCTTTTTAAAAAAATAATTAGATGAAACATAGGTACTTTTTGTTTAACTTTGCATTTAAAATATAATGAATAGTCTTGTAAAATTTATTTTAGAAATTATAATTTTTGATAAAAATATTATTTAGAGTATTATTGTGGTACAGGTAAATAAAAATTGAAAATGTGTTGGTTTAGTAGATAAATATCCTCTTTAAACTGAATTATTTCATGTATATCCTAGTATTTTTCTTAGAAAAACATTTTCTTAGCTAGAAAATGTTCTTTCATAACAAAATATAATGTAGAATTTAAGTGAATTCTGCAATACTTTCAAAGTTGAAATGGATTTGCTCTTGCTTTGACTTTAATAAGACTATAATTTTACCATTTTTTAAATGACCAACTCATCTGTGAAATTACAATGAATTTTACCACTGTTAACTGAAGCATAAATTTTAAAAAATTTGGTATTTGTAAAGTTTATTTTTTTGTAAACACATATATTTATTTCTAAATATAAAGATAACTACCAAAGCCAGTTCAGTATACATAACACAAATAATCAAATTCATATAGAGGATTATATAGCTCACAGAGAGCAATTATATTCTTTATTGAGTACTACTAATGAATGTCAAGCTTATTTTCTATAGAGTACCTTTAGCTTTTAAATTTGTTATTTGTTTTATTAGCTTTTCAAATGTGGCATATAAGGATGTATTTTGGTTTTTTAACTTAATTCTAAAATTAATTTTTAAATATTTTGAATAGTATCTTGAACAGAAAAAATTAGATTCCAGTTTGAAAATTTGTGTATTTATTTTGAGGAAGTTGAAATCACTTGTTATTTTTTAAAATTTTTTAACATATAAATATTTTAACATATAAATATTTATATAACATATAAATAACATACATCTCATGTATGTTAAAAATAACTTGCTATTTTTAACATACATGAGAGCTATAAATAAAATATTTTCTCATAATATATATAGTAAACGATGTTACTTTGGTCACAGAGCTTTTTCTTATCTTTTATATGCAGGTTGGCATACAAGGAGCAATATTCCTTGGTGTTTAAGATCATGGATTCTGGAGTTAAAGTGTCTGGATTCAAGTCCAGGTTCTACCACTTCACAGATTTGTGATCTTGGACAACTTAATTATTCTCTGGGCTTCCGTTTACTAATCTAAAGGCCAAGTTAATATTATAGTACTTATCACAAAATTGTCCTGACCATTAAATTTTTAAATTATCTGTCATACTTCTTCTGTTTCCCTCTTTCCATGCTCTAATCCAAATGCCTTTCTTCTTGTATTTTTCATTTTGGTTAGTGCATTACTATTTACCCAGCCACTCAAACTAGAAACTTTAGAATTAACCTCAACTCTTTTTCTTTCTTATCCTCTACATTTACATAACTGGATCATTATCAATTTTCTTTGAACAAAGACTAGATTTCACCTTTCTCTGTTACTACTGCTACTACTTAGTTTAAGAACTGAAGATACTTTACCCTTGTTGATCTGCTACCATATTTCAGTTTTCTAGCTGTTTTAACTAATATAGTTCTACAAGGCAAACTTGTAATCATGTTACTCCCCAAATAGAAAATTTTGAGGATGATATTCAAGTTTCTTTGACAGTTTGGACCTTGCTTTCATCTCCCGTCACAGCTCCTCTGATATATTCTTGATCTTTCCTGAACACACATGTATTCATTCATTCATTCATTCATTCATTCATTCATTCATTCATCCATGCATCCAGACAGGGTTTTAATCCTGATTCTTCCACTTACTATCTGGATACAAAATTTAATATTTCTTTGTCTCAGTTTACAATGGGAATGATAATAGGATCATTGTGAATATTAAATGAATTAATATATGTAAAGTGCTTAAAACAGTGGTTGGTATATAGTATGTGCTATATGGTTTTGTTGCTATCTTTGTTAGCAGTAACTACCATTCTTAAGTGACATGAGCTACATTTTCTCTTGTCATTTAGTTTTTCAACAAATGGAAAATCAGTCTGCATGATATCCTAATCCTATGTAGCCACTTAAGGCATTAAATGTGTGAGTGTTTTGAGCCTGGACTAAAAGGGGAACTTTTATATATATTTATTATTACAGTGTAATATTGAAGTACTCCTCTTTTTTGCCTCTTCACACCAGACTCTGTCCTGCTTCTGATTTTCCTGGCTATCTGAAATGCCGATGATAATTATTGTTTTCATTTTTACTCTATATCCCAGGCTTGATGCATAACATTGTTTTTATGTCATATACCTTAGCTTTTATTAAAATAGTTTTCTTCCCTGGCTGTGCTTCAGTCTGAGGACAAGACAGGCAAGGCTAACATATCTGGCTATAATTTCTTGATTCTAGTAACAATGTCTGTTCCTCAGCACAAGCCCGATATCCAGCTAGCATTCCTACCATTCCTGCTGCCTCATCCTCTCACTCCCATTGCCCCTGCCTTACAATATCTCTATCTGCTTCATCTTCTTCTGCAATATCATTGACCCAGCTTTGAAAAGACATAGTGTCTTATTCAATTCTATACCTGGTATACCTTGCTTTTATAAATAATGGAAAAGGAAATCAAAGCACTTATCATTGACCAGTCGGTGACTTAATTTTTAATAAATGAGTTAGGATACCAATTGCAATTTCTCTCTGATTAAAGAAATAATCTTGGAGAAAATAATATTTGAATTGCTGTTTGAGTGATGGAAGAAGAAGAGTAGATTATACAGGGATCTTTATGGGGTATTTGAAGCTTAGAATTTATTCTCAGCTAATACTTGAATATTATCTGTAAGGCATTGAGGATACAAAAACTTAGTTTCTGTTTAACTTCAAATGACTGATAGAGTGACAAGTAATAAAAAAGTTGAAAGGCAAGAAAGATTGCCAAGGACTGGAGAAGCTGTCTTTTGTCTTTTCCTGCTGTATGAAACCTCTGTAGGTGATTTCATATATTCTCTTTAGACCAAGTTCTCTTGAAAATCTAGTAGCTTATCATAACAGGATTTCATTCAGTTTTTGGAATATAGCTTGATCTTCTGTCTCTGGGCCTTTGCAGATGTTATTTCTTACTAACTCTTGAAATATAACCATAGAGTCCATAACTTCCAGAAAAGCTTTCTTGATCTTTCAGCACTGGAATAAGTATTTCTGTGGTTCTCATAGTCCCTGTTCTTTCTCGATTATAGCCTTTATTACACTATATTGCCTTTACTACACTCTGTTGTAACTGTCTTCACCAGATTTTTCAAGTAACACAGAAACTATTTGTTTAACAATGCCTGGTGTGTGTTGGTGCTACAAATATGTAAGTTGGTTGAGTGAATGAGTAGGATAAAACAGAGAGGAGTTGGTCATTCCAGGCAAGGGGAAGAGGATCAGTAAGAAATGTGGTATTGAATATTGTGTATTCTGAGAGTGGGTACAGCATTTGACTGAAGTATAATATTGAAAAGACAGGCTGTACAGCCTGCCACATCAGGGAGTACAAAATTTATTTACTAAGAAAGAGCCCTTGAAGCTTTTAGACATACAAATAATGATATGTAGTCTCATAAATTTTGTTAAGTAATATATCCGTGCATGGGATATAACTTTTTTCTAATTCTGCATGGAGTTTTGCTCTTGTTGCCAAGGCTGGAGTACAATGGTTCGATCTCAGCTCACCGTAACCTCCCTCTCCCAGGTTCAAGCGATTCTTCTGCCTCAGCCTCCGGAGTAGCTGGGATTACAAGTGCCACCACTACACCTGGCTATTTTTTTTATTTTTAGTAGAGACGGTTGGTCAGGCTGGTCTCCATCTCCTGACCTCAGGTGATCCACCCACCCTGTCTCCCAGAGTGCTGGGATTACAGGTGTTAGCCACCATACCTCACCCTTTTTGTTGCTGTTGTTGAGACAGAGTCTCACTCTGTCACCCAGGCTGGAGTGCAGTGGTGTGATCTTGACTCACTACAACCTCTGCCTCTTGGGTTTAAGTGATTCTCCTGCCTCAGCCTCCCCAGTAGAAGGGATTACAGGTGCTCACCACCACGCCTGGCTAATTTTTGTATTTTCAGTTGAGACAGGGTTTCTCCTTGTTGGCCAGGCTGGTCTTGAGCTCTTGATCTCAAGTGATCCACTCACCTCGTCCTACCAAAGTGCTGGGATTACAGGCATGAGCCACCGCGCCTAGCCTTTTTTCTAATTATTTTCAAAATTTTGCAGTACTCTTCAATGGATTAAACATATGATGACTCCTGTTTTTTTTTTTTTGTTTTTTTTTTAAGACAGAGTTTTGTTCTGGTGCCCAGGCTGGAATGTAGCGGTACAATCTCTGCTCACTGCAGCCTCTGTCTCCCAGGATCAAGCAATTCTCATGCCTTAGCCACCTGAGTAGCTGGGAATTACAGGCATGTGTCACTATGCCAGGCTAATTTTTGTATTTTTAGTAGAGATGGGGTTTCACGCTGTTGGCAAGGCTGGTCTCGAACTCCTGGCTTCAAGAGATCCTTCCCTTTTGGCCTCCCACAGTGTTGGGATTAGAAATATGAGCCACTGAGCCTGGCTGACTTTTGCCTTTATTTCGAGATTCTTTCTACAGATTTATAAGGAAACTTAGAAAATTTGAATGAATGCTGCCGAATGAATTGAACAACTGTCATGAAACTTTGCAGTTTGTTTTTCTTATAAACGAAACTATTTTTAAACTATGACAAAGAAAATTCAAATAAGGTAGTAAGCTAACTTATGGTTGGGCGTTTCCTTCTTATTTGTAGCTTAAAGAAAAATAAATGCTTACAGCTGTGACTTTTTTTTCTCTAGTATCTCCAGAGGCAGTTGGATTTTTGTCAGCTGTTGGGGTGTTTATTATCTTGATGCTGCTCCTTTTTCTCTATATTAATAAGAAGTTCTGTTTTGAAAATGTTGGCGGGTTTCCAGATCTTGGTTCAGAATACAGTACAAGGAAGAATTCACAAGATACAATTTGTAAGTATCATATATCTGCTTCTGTTGTTTTTTTTTTAATCTGTTTATTTTACTTATTTTAATATATACAATAAAAAGGTTGATTGTGACATATAATTAACTAATATTTGAGCTATTATTCTGTAAAAGATCTACTGTTAATTAAATTATGTTCCCATATCCTTCTGTTGTTCATGAAGTGCTATTACGTACAGGTGAATTGTCTGCTACCACAAAATGACATTTTAATTTTTTATATTTAAAATATGCTTTTGAGCCTATAATATGTGCAGATATGCTTGAGGAAGGAGGAAGTATCTTGTTGCTTCATGTAGCATACTTCCATTGTCCAAGTGGCTCTTTAGAGAGCTTTTCCCCCCACATCCCTAGAACACTTTTGAAAGTATTCACCTTTTTTCTTTACCCGCTGTTTAATTTTCAGCTAACGGATAATTTTATTGTTTGGAGGAGGTGGTTTTACTTAGTAACTTAATTTATATATATCAGTTCTGATTATAAAAAATAATATTCCATTCTCTCCCTTAGCACCATATTTTATAGTGTTACTAGGTACTAGGAAAGATGAATACCGTTCTCTTATGGAAATCTTTTCCTTGGAGTTGCTTTTCTTTTCTTTTCTTTTTAAATTACTACAAGAGTTTTTACAATTTCCTGTTTCTAAACACTGGCTTATAAAAAAAAATGATAGTAGGAACAAATTGGAAATTATAATAGCAAAGTGTTAATTTAGAAGAATGTGATGAACAATAGCTGAGAAATCTTGCTTTTCTTATCTATGTACCTGTGTTGGAGATATGCTTTTCTCTTATATCTGATAACTTAAAAAGCAATAGCCCATTACTTATAAGAATCTGTTAGTTATTGAATTATATTCTGTGACTTTTGCATTAAGAAACTAAATAGTATTTTATACAGTTTTAATTTGGTCAAGGTTAATGTTTCTCATAATCCACTCCAGGCCTACTTTTTGATCATTTAAAGAACTGGCTAAAAGTATCTTTTTGGCAGCCATTGGTAATTCTCTGGTTTAGCATTTCTGGTTTTCCTTTTGTTTAATGATACCTTTATGTTTTTAAATTTTATTGAGTACTCCCAAAGAACTTTTTGTTTATGTGGATTATATCTATTGATATGTACCATATTAAAGTCAAAACTGTGAAAATTTAAAAATGTTATTTATTAATTTATTTTTTAAAAAATCAACGTTAATATAAATAACGTTTAAATTTTTTAAAAAAACTATTTTTCAAAGCAAAAAGAAAATAGGGAAAAATGGTGAGAAGAGTGATTTTGTTTTACACTTTTTGCATATCTTTTTAATGACTGACTGGCATAATGGAAGACAGCTGGATTCTCATTTCTGCTTCTGCATTCAATCTGTCGTGTAGCCTCTGGATAACTACTGTATTCACTTGTGAGCCAATGAGAATGAAAAAGTTAAATACCCCCTTGCTGTTATTGTAGGACTAGTCTTGACCTTGAAGATCCCTTGAAAATGTCTCAGGGACCTTTATTATACTGAATCTTGTTTTTCTGTCACTTATTAAAAAGGAACAATAATATTTATCTCCTAGAATCACTATAAGATCAAGTAGGATAAAATGTGTCAATTACAGTGCCTTACATATAGTAGCCACTCATCAGATGTCCATACCTCCTCTCCCCTATTCTTACCACTATGCAAAATTGTTTAGATATTTTTCTTTAATATTTTTCTTAATTTGAAATGATACTGGTAGTTTATTAATAAGATAGGGTAGTTCCCTTACATAGATTATTAATAAGCAACTAAAAGTAAATAATAAAAATCCTTCTTATGCTTCTTCTTTCAGGTATAGAATAAAAACTCAATAGTGTTTGAGGGAAAAATATTGTCTTGCTGCTGTTATAATAGCTGTGGAGTGGGAAAAATGTCATTACGTTTAAACCAAATGGTTTGATTTTTTTATTGTTTCGGAAGAGTCTTCAACATATTTCTTTCAATGCATAATGTATTTACAGAAAGATTAAGAGCTATAATGTGAATTGCTAATATTGAGCCGATGAATAGTAACATTTAAGTAAATGTTAAATTCAAGTTCCAAAGTGGTTGATATTTTGAGAAGAGAAAATTCCGTTATTGCACCTTTTAGGAACAAGGAATTAGAAAATGGCATTTTTCAGAAATTTCCAACAGAATCTGCCTTCAATGTCCTCTCTGGTAGACACAATCAGTAGTGCTGTAGATGATTTGACCACTGCTGTTGGGGAGGTCAGCTATGCTTTAACTGACTCAGTTGCTGAGCAGGTAACAAGTATGATAAGTGGCTTTCGCCCAGAAGAGGAAAGCTCTGCAGCAGAAGAAACTGTAGACACTTCTAAACAAAAAAATGCCGGGTTAACAGAAGTCTCCCAAAACACTAATTGTCAGAAAACTCAATCCAGTTTAGAGCACAGAGCAAAGCAAATAAATACTTGTAATACTTCAGTTTCACAAAAGCAAGATCAAGGAATACATGAAGAAAGAGTATTTAAACATGTTAATGATAGGCAGCAGACTCTATCAGAGTATCAAGACACTGGTAAAACTGGCGATTCTTCTTTGAAAGGCTGCATGAATAATGGTGGGATATCAGTTATCAAACAGAATACAAGGGCTGGATCTCCTTGTCAAGAACTTGAAAGTACAGGCAGATGTAAAACAATTGGACTAGGAATTTCCAATAATGGTAAGAATGATTTAAAAGAGGTAGGATACCAAGAAATGAAAGGAAATCAGAAGAATGCCAATGGAGTAAACAAACTGTATGAGCAAAAGAAATACGTTAGTACAGATAATCGTAAAAAGGAAGAATATACTAAATCTCAACATGTATTTTTGGGAAGAGATCAAGAGAATGTGGGGCATTTCAATAAATACAAGCATCTTCCTGATTTAGGGCATTCAGAGCATTTAAAGAAAGCTAAAAAATGTCTTAAAAGTAAAGCATCCAAAGGGAATGAGTGTTCAGGAAATGAATGTTCTTTAAAAGATATTTTGACAAGCAATAGGCATATGACACAGAAATCCGTTATAAAAGAAGACATACGTCTAGCACCATCAACTAATTCTAAAGATAAGTTATCTGGGAAAATTGAAGAACAAATAAATTCAAAGAAATACTGCAAAGTGAAAGAAGACATAAACCCAAAGAAAGCTGGGGCCATTTCTGCCAAGAAAGGAACAGCAAAGACTAAAAATGAAAAATATTTTAATATAATACCAGAAAAAGGTGAGGTCTCTTAATGTTGGTGTGAGTGGTTAAATTTTCTCTTGATTTTTAAAATTATTAAAACATCATCCAAATTTCTCAGCTTTCCTATTCATGTGTCTAAATTTAAGATGTTCTTGAATCCTTTTACTGGGAGACATTTTAAAAGTCATTCAGTATTTTTTCTAAAATCATTTCAAGAGCATTCACGTTGTTTGAACCACTAAGTATTGCCCCATCCCTGCATTATTTGGCCAGTTTTTCAGCCGCCCTAGTTTTCGTTAATGTCCATTTAGTTTATAACCAGAAACTTCATGGTTTTCTTACAGGCTTTATTTGGAGTTTATTTGATGTGCTGTAGTTGCTTTGAAATTTTTATATAACTAACTCTGAAGCCCCTTATACAATATTGCTCTTTGCATCTATCCTAGTAAGAATTTATATCAAATGTTTAATTTTTTCCTGGAGAGCAATAGATGTTATTTTATTCAATAACATGGTTCAGGATACATTTTTATTCATTTTGCCCATACATTAAAATTTTTATATTACTGCCCTATTTACAATAAGTATACATGAATAATTTATTATTATTCATGAGTTCTCTTTATAGAATTAGGATTCTAATTAAGCATTTATAGTTTTCAATCACAGTACTTGTGATAATTTTCAAAACATTGCTAGCCACTCATGCTGCTAATAATTACTTCTGGTAATCTCTTAGTCACATCCATTTATTGCTGATTTGATCATGAGGCCAAAAGTACACTGGCTTTTGTTTATAAAATACACATCTGGAATTTTTCTATAAAGTCATACTCTCATAAAATAACAAAAAGCCAAGTAGCAGTAACAAGGAGAATTTTTCAGTTCTGCTATGACTACATACATAATAGGGATCAGTTGTTTATCAATTATATGAATGGTTTTACAGTGATATAGGAGAGGCTAATCCAAGATAGATGCGCTGACTTTAAATGTCAGTTTTTGAAATGTATCCGTTTTGGAATCTGTTTTTCTAGCAGTTTTTTTTTTTTTTCTTTTATTGTCAGATTTAGTGATCTTTGGTAGGCCTGGTTTAGTTCTGGTAGCCTTGTTGCTTAAAGTAGCAAAAATGTGAAAATAATATACAATGGTTTACATATTATTTTATTCAGAATGAATGGTAGAATAGACACTAGTAATTAATACATTACAAGTAGCATGTAGGGTTTTTAATTTTTTAAATTTGTTTTCATTAAGAAGCATGCTAACACCTAAAGAAACCAAATATTTCTCACATATTCCACAATACAGTCAGTACTAAACTTACACAGGCAATGTTCCCAAAATCATTTCAAAAGTTGTTTGACCCATAGATTAACCCTTCATTTAGCTGAACTATAATATTACTGGTACCTGGTATTCTAGGTTCTGACATAGGCTTTATAAGTTATAGAAAAAGGAGGAAGGGTTTTCTTCTCTATTTCTAATTGCAGGTTACTTTAGGTAATGTTTTTCAATAGGCGAAGTTTGACTGCAGACTAGTTACCCTCCTCAAGAGACTCAGAACCCTCTCTTGCTTTAAGATCCCCACCATGGTATCCAACGAAGTGGTAGCAGCTCAGCACTGGGAGTCAGAGGCCTTATAGCTCTGTCATCTCAGTGTTTTCTAATAGTATTTTCTGCAACAACAGAAACGTTTTACATACCTGCATTGTTCCATACAGTAACCATTAGACACATGTGGCTGTTGAGCACTTCAAATGTGGCTAATAGCATGGGGAACTGGGCTTTAATTTCTGTTTACTTTTAATTAGTTTAAATAGCCACATGTGACTGTTGGCTACATACTGGGCAAACACTGTCACAATATGTGACATTTGGTGATAGTGTTACCGTTTTGTGGATTTATTTTACTAATTTAAAAGCTGGGACTAGACTAGATGACATCTAAGCTCCTTCTAACTCTAAACAATTAGTTTCTATTCTGTATTTATAAAATTACTTGTTCTGTAACTCTCACTCAAATTTCGACCTTGATTTTTTGCTACAGATGATCTTAACTGACTATAAAGAGAAAAATAACCAGACTGAACTAATGAATTTTAACTACTGCACTCTTCACCTGTTTAATAATTCTAAGGAAATTATACCTTTGTATAGTTTCAAAATGTTTACCTTTTTTTAAAACTGGTACTAACTAGTGCTTTTTAGAACAATATAAGATTTATACTCTGAAAGTTTTGTTTGAAAGTTAAATATATTTAAGTAAAATTTTCCTAGAATTCTACCTTTCACAAGCAGTAAGTGTTAACAGTTTGGTGTATATCCTTCTAGATATTTTTGTCTGTGCATACCTACACTGCATTGTGTGCGTGTACATGCCACATGTGTGTGCATGTATATTTTTCAAATGGGAATATAATTATAACTTCTACTTTTTCACCTCCTTTTTTCTCATAACATGATATAGTAGTTATTCTTTCCCTGAGAGTTCTTTTACATTCACATCCTCAATTTAAATGACTGCATAGTATATCATTGAATAGATATATCGTAATTTATTTAAACAAAGCCCACTGATGGATATTTAAATTATCTCTTTTGCCATTAAATACAGTACAGTGAATTGTCTCAAAAATATATCTTTATTCATCTGTTAATTTATTAGGCTGAATTTTTAGAAATAGAATTGGTAAATTCCTGGAAAAGGATCAGATTATGCAGATTTAAAAGTTTAATATGTTTTGCCAAATTGCTCTCTAGGAAAGTAACATCAGTTATGATTTCACCAATAATGTATATCTGTTCATTGCTGTATTTTACTGCTAGCACTGAGCATTGTCAGTTTTGATAATTTTGGCCAAAACAAGAACCAGAAATGTGTCTTTTAACATGAATTATTTGAACCAGATCCATATGTACTGGCGGCAATACTTAGAACTTCATTTGTGTGTTACTTATCCTTTAAAAAATGTAAAATGGCAAGTATTATAATTTCCTTTATATGTAACGTGGTTGAAAAATCCCTTTGAGTAACAACATTATTTATATAATAGAATGTACAAACTGATCTTTTACTGTTAAAACATAAAAATCTAAAGCTTGAGCTGCTTATGTGAAAAAATTTTATTTCTCTAAATCTGAAAATTCAGATTTTGTGTGTGTGTGTGTGTGTGTGTGTATTTGTGTGTGTGTATATATACATATATACGTATACACACACACACACACACACATATATATATATACATGTGTTTATATATATATAACTTCAGCAAATTTTCCATACTTTATTGTGTTAACATTATCATTTGATGGGCCCAGCAGGGCCAGGTGATGGGAGGGAAATTTTTTTAAATTACTGTTTCTTCTTCATGTTATTCCAAATAGATAATTCCTACATGGGCAAAGATGAGCATGGTTCGTCCTCTGAGAGTGAAGATGAAGCACTGGGTAAATATCATGAGGCCTTATCCAGAACACACAATTCCAGACTACCAATGGCAGATTCTAGACAAAAGAACTATGCTTGGGAAACACGGCAGAAATACAGTCCTCTGTCTGCAGAGTATGATGGCTACAGTAGTGAAGCATCAATAGATGAAGGTAAGATGGGTTGTTTTATTTTTTTTACATGACACACTATAGTATTTGATTACCTGTGCCTGAAATTCTAAGAATCTGTGGCTGCAGCATAAACAAGAGAGCACACACAGTAGAGTCATATTTCTGGGAATGTGATTTATTCAAATTAATATCTTTGGGCTCAGGCCAAAAATCAAACCAATACCAAAACACCCCAAAGCAAAACACCAAATAATTTACGTAATGTGATAATTGGAGCTCTCATTTCACAGTGAACATATGCTTAACAAGCATGATATGGAAGATGTGAATCTGCTGTTCTCTCAGATGGAATCAGTTTCTCTATACCTGTTATAGGAACTGATAGAGTTTAAGTCTCCCACGGTGTTGAATATGATTCCAGTGTGTAAATGTATGCTGTTTCATTCAATATGGCCCCTAAACACCAGCCAAATGTTGCACATGGCACACAGTGGAAGAAATGGTAATCTGTTTTGTGCGGAAGGGAAAACTGTCTGAGATGAATTTATTGAGAGCTGGTCTATATTATATTATGCTTTAAAGGGAATTTAAGGGATTTTCAGGGATTTTAGTAATTTCAAGAATTATTTGTCTCTTAATTGATTTTGTTGTATGTGCTGAAATTGACCTTTGAACTCAACCTGTGTAGATGTCAGTCCACTTACACATGTTTTTATATCTTTCTGTGACATAAATGAGACATGTTTTTGCCATTAATTAAGGCATATTTCTACATTTAAATAAATTATTCATTTGCTTAACAGAATGTGTGGCTACTCATCATGATTATTATGTTTATACCCAGATATGAGGAAAAGAATAATACATCCTATATATCATTTTTATCATTATACAGAAACAAAAGCTATCCTCGATTTTGTAGCTCTGACTAATTTTTGGGGGCCTATTACTATTGATGACTTAAAGTCTTATCCCAGCATGTACAGTTGTCAAAGGGGCTAAATCATCTATTACTGTATTTGGCTTCATGCCAACTAAAGATTAATGCACCTCATGTCTGCTGATACACAGATAAAATAACAAATTAATCAAATACTGAGTGACTACTATATGGTGATTATGAGATGCAAGGGAAGAAATAAATAGTCAACATGTATTTTACCCTCAAAAATATATTTTAGTACTAAGGAAAACAAGACGTGTGCTTCCTAAGTTAATTAAATAATGCAAAGCAGTAAAACCAGTCCCCAAGTTATATATACCTTTGGTACATGAATAGTAGAGGAGGAAGAGAATGGGTTTTGAGATCTGGTCCTTGTTAACATTCTGGCCATGTCTCTTAATGTATTAACTGTGAAACCTTTGGTAATATAGTTCGTTGTTTTTAGATTTCTTTCATTTTCTGAAAAATATGAATAATACTGAACTGGTAGGGTTGCCATGAAAATTAAATGATAAATGTGGTACAGTTTTTAGCACAGTGTCTGATAGCTAATAGGTAAGTGATCAGTAAATGTAGTTGATTATAAGGGTAGTGAAAACAGTGATGACCATGAGTAAGCCCTGAGTGTGCATTTCCTTTCTGCAGGTACATTTAGGATTTATTTTCTATTCATTCCTCTTTCCTCTCACCCTACACCCCTCTGCTGTCTTGATTACTTCTGTGTAGTTCTGTTAGTCTAGCATGACTTTATAGCCTATGGAGAGAGCAGTGAGAAGAGAGGTACAGCCTAGGTGCTTGTGCTGTTCTTACCCTAACCTCTGCAAGTGGTCCAGTGTCCCAGAATCACCTTCTCATTGTATTTTATTCTTATATTTTAGGACCTATTCTGTACTTTTTTACACATTTCCGCCCTAAATTATTTCATCAAACACTCAGAGTAGACTAATTTTAGGCATTCTGAGATTAGATTTATTTATTTCGTAAACATGAAAAGCTTTCATGAACCCTTTTTATGTGTCACACACTGCTAGATACTGTGGATATGAAGATCATAAACTTGTTTCTCTCAAAAAGCCTGTAAACTGGAGGAGGAAAATCAGTGAGTATGTTTGTAGTATAATATGGTGAGAGGTCTGTTAGTCACATGAGCAAAGTTCAGTAGAAATATCGAGAAGGAAAAAAGAAGACAAAACTTTTTAAAAAAAAAAGAAAATGAAAAAAGAAATACCGAGTTGGAGGTGATTTTGATTTGGGGAGGTAGGAATCTGAAGTCTAATGGGATCTAGGTGAACTGGATGTGAACGAGAATTATTTCAACAAGCATGGAATAGGGCTTTCATGCAATCATGAATCCAAAAGAAAATGTATTTCAGTGCCTCTAACTTTTGAATTTTGTTTGAAAACAGGGCAAGTAATAGGACTGAATGCCTGCTCAGGAGTTTGAATATTGTCTTATAAGAAATGTAGAGCCCTTTTGAAGGTTTTTAAGCATGAGAGTATGATAAAATTTAAAGAGTATTTCAGGGATGGAGAGAAATCCACTTGACTCCAACATAGGTGCGTCTATACACATACCTCTGAGGGAATAGGAGATAAAATTGAAAAGAGAGGTGAGGTCTAAGGCCTGAAGTGCCTTCTGACTAGAAATGTAGGATTTTATTTGTTCGCCAGTGAGAATTTGCTGAAGAGTTTTTTCACTAAGGAACTGTAATCAGGGTTGTGCTTTAGAAAGATTAATTTAGCAGCAAGCAGATTATCAGAAAAGATACTAGTTGAGGAGATCTTTGGGGTGGTATATGTGAAAATGATAAAAGTCTAAATTACAGTAGTAGCAATAGAAATATAGGAGGATACGAGAGAGATTATTGAGGCAGAACTTACTGGGTTTAGAAACTGAATGTGTTTGGAATATTTGGAAAAAGAAAGGAGGCATCAGAGATGACTGATTTCCATCATGTGTGATGAGGAGAATGATGAAGTCATTAATATGAAATCCAGAGAGGGACTTGTGTTTGGTTGGAAATGAGCACTGGGTAAGAGATATGGTAAGTGATTTTACGTATCTGATGAGGCAGAATATTTAAGCAGTTGGAAATGGCTATCAAGCTTGTAATCCTGAATGCGTTTGAGGGAGAAGTTTTCAGATCATATATGCTTAGAGAATAGAAACTACGAACATGAATTAAATTGATGAAGGAGAAGGTGTAGAGAGAAAACGTCAGAAAATAACTTCCTTTGACAGGAGAATTAAGGGTGTCATGTGAAGAATCGAAGAAACAGTAAAAGAGATAAAGAGGAGAATTAGGAGAATGTTTTATTTTATCAGCCATGGAAGAAAAGTTTTAGAAGACGAAGGAAGGTAGAGTGGTTGGGGAGGGTGGTAATTCAGATTAAACCCCTTTGTCCAGTGGAAGTTGATCACTCGTTTTCAATTGAAGTTTTAGGGGAGTAATGAGGTCATATTGAATGTTGTTAAGGAGAGGATAAGTGGTAAGGAAGTGTACATTTGCTGCCTACACTTTCTTACCACTTACTCTGTCCTTATCAACTTTGAGAGTCAGAGAGGTAGTTGAGGGGTTTTGTTTGTAACCCAGCTGTTCACCTCCTCCCTCCCGCCCACTGATACTCTCCTGTGGTATATATTTGGGAAGGACGGGGATTTGCATCTCCACCTGGTGGTTGCTCCTTGGCATAGCTGCCTCTGCAGAAACTTCTACTTGGTGACTGATCACTCACATAAGAGAACTGCTGGGTACAGTTCTTTTGGTAAGACTTCATTCATTTTCCTATGTGGGTAGAAAATAAATGACACACAAGCAAAGAGATGAACAGAATAAGTTACACTTCTTACTGCTCTGACCCTTCAGTCCGCATTTGACCTCACACAAGTTTATAAAGGTTAGACTTGACTAATGTGAGTTAACTAAAGGGAATCACAAGATAGAAGGAAAAAAAAACCACATTTTTTACATGGCATAGTATTTATCTCAATACTAGTAAGGAACCTTTAGTCCATTTCTCAACACCCTAAGTAATTCTAGTTGAAAAGCTTTGGAACAGCCAATTTTGAAAACAAATCTGCAGGAGTAGAGAAGATAAGATAGGACCTGAAGAGGGATTAGGAGAGGCCAGTGCAAGAGAACTTTTATCAGGTAGTGAGGACTGCCATTTATTAAGTTTATGCTGTGTGCCTCACTCTGTTTCTGTCATGCCGTCATGTTTAATTTTCATTGCCATGTATTGTGGTAGGTAAGATTCTACAGAATTGAAGTGACTTTAAGTTGATTTTTTTTTTTAACCCAAAATCACACTACAAGACAAAAACTATGCTTGTCAGGTTAACAGCAAAATTAATGTTTTTTGGCTTGCATGAGGTCATCACTGCTACTTTGTTATTCTCCCTAAGTCTCTTTCATACAAGATGAACCCCTTCAGTTGGTCCTTTAGAGCAGGTTGTATGTTATAAATTTGATATACACATATTCTAGAAAAAGTAAGAAAATATGATGGCATATTTGTTGATCATGTTTTCTCCTCTAGGTGGCCATATTAATCTATTTTTTTTTTTTTGGAACTACAAAAGGGATAATATCTGTAAGAAATTTTTGTAGAAAATGAAACAGTTTATCAAATCCTTTTGTTCACAATTTTAATTTACTTTTACTGTGTTGTGCTTAGACTTAAGGGCATCTTCTGATAAACCTCTTCTATTTTAAAAAGGTCAGTATCAAATATGGTTCATGGATATCTCGTTTAATTGATGAGCTAGACCAATCTCTGAAATTTCATTCACACTAATTAGCACTTTCTATTTTTATATTAGATAAGAGAAGCTTATTAAAGATGATTCTATATGAAGATCAAGTTCAGTATAAAATTGCTAGAATATCTTTTGTTATTTATTAGTTTTTATTATTAGTTTACCATAGAGATTACATAGCTATATTTATGTATTATGGAAAGCTGTGTTATTAAATTTACATTATTTATTTTGGGAGCAAGTTAATATAAAACACCATTGAAAAATAATTTTCAACATCACTTATGTCTTAAGGTATATAGCTTATACACACACACACACACACACACACACACA